TTATTTTTATTATTATTATTATATGCACCTCAATTGGTAAAACAATAAGACTTTTTAATGGTACCGGTAATATGCGCCCCAGTTTTAGTATACACATTGTATATATTATACAGTTGAACCTTCTAAATATTGTAAAGACACTGTCCATGACGCTCAATGTCTAAGACAACTTATTTGGCAACCCATCTTCTCGACAATGAGCGACGGGAGCAGACATAAGCGGTTATGCTTCATGAATCGAATCCCCGAATAGATGGGTTTTCTTTTTAGGTGGATCGCTCAAGACTCTCCACCTCATTCACCTGGTCCTGTTGGGCATGATTTTGTGACCTTCCCTTTTTGTGTTGATCAAATCTGCCGATGAATTTTTGGTTCAGCTGTGCTACATAATCCATTCATGATTTAGATTGTATTATTTCAAAAAATCTCTTTTGCTTTTTTTTTTCACAAAAGAATGCCAAAATTCTGCTGGTTGATGTGGCCCCAGTCGCCTGACAGTGAGCTTATCATCACGTGACCAAGAATTTATAACTTCCGCAACTAACCATGGCAATACAAAAATTATGTCCTTATCTCATTGTTTGTCCGATCTCCACACGCAGATCTCAGCTGTGTACAGTATTCAAAACATCGCTAATTGTTTACCCGCAAACATCTTCACCCAAGTGTGCAGTGAGGGAGGAATTCCACGACGAGCGAAGGGTTAGGTTTAAGGCTAGGGTTAGGGTTTGGTACATGGGTTTAGGTTAGGGTCAGGGTCAGGCTCAGGGACGCTTTGATTTGGAACCTCGAGTGTGTGCAAATTAGGTTTCAAGCAATGCTTAGGTGCGTCCCACAGTGCGTGAACGCGGCTTCAGGTCTCTAATCCTAGTACATGTAGAACCTTCAGTGTCTTTGTCTCAGGCTTGAGCCATGCAGGGTCAATAGTCAACAGTCCCCAGCTATATTCCGTCAGTTCTCTGCCAGCCCAGACAATGGGGACTTTAGGCTACGTGACTTCAGGACCAAACCAAAGAAAGTACTTCATTCTTTTCGTCAGGATGAGAGCCTGGTTGGATGGAGCTATTGGTGTAGTTGTACCAATTTGATAAAAAGAAGAACACACTCAGACCAATCAGATCGCTTCTCTAGTTATGCATCTAAAGTTTTGTTTGCGTTTTCGTGGTGTAACGACTTTTCAATTTGAAATAATAATATGTTTTGTCCATTTAAATATAAGTTTTGTTAAATGTTTTGTTTTCATTTTAGTTAGCAGAAGTAACTCTTTTCATTGAACAAGTCCAGGTGAGGTTGAAACGTTAAGCCCCATCCCACCAGACGCCACTGACCACACCACATCACGCGGTGTAGAACAATATCGTTGATCGTACCGTACCCCAATTCGTCATACTACATACATCATGCCAAACTGATGGCGCCGAGCCACCCACCTGCAGCGATCAAGTACAAGTTCAAGGACACGCCTAGACGTATCGGCTGTGTCTATTAGTCTCCCATCATAGTAGCGTGAAGGAGGAAACCATGATGAAATTAATGCATGAAAAACCAAAACTTCATCACATAGGAAGTCAACAGTACGTATGTATTTATAAAAGACCACGAAATCCTCACTTGAGCACAAGGTCACTGTATCGTGGCGTTTTTAAGTTACGTCAGTGAGAACCTGATTCAAGCATTCCAGCTAGCAGTTTAATGCCTCGGCAGCAAGAGATGGGGCAGACAGATCACAAATGCCATATAAAAATAGACAACAGGAGACTTCCTTGCTTTCCACTCTTGCAATCCTTTATGTAGCCAACTGCGAGAGTTGTTCGATCATTTCAAGGGTTCTCCCTTATGTATACACAATGCAAACTGCCAAGTGAAATTAGTCGATTTCAGTCGAACTGAGTTGGGGTCAGCCCGATTTTTTTTTTCATTGAGGGTCAAAAGTCGAAAGCTACTACCTGGTGCCCGTTGTGGATCGGATATCTGGTCGTGTCCCGTTTGACAAGAATAGAAATTTTTGGCTGGCGCACAGTGTTATTGAACTCAAAACGTACCGCTCACCATAATAATAATAATAATAATAATAATAATAATAATAATAATAATAATAATAATAATAATAGTATTAATAGATACCATTTGTATAGCACACCTTTCCGCTCTTTGCTCTTTACAGTCTGTATTTTTACCTCAGCAGACCAGATAGCATACTGAAACAATCTCAACTTCGTGGGAAGCATACAGTGCAACACAGCCATTTCCTTTCATAAAGATTCCAAGTGCCGACTGGCCGCATGTTGTGGTTTGTTTTTGAAGGTCACCCTCGAATTTGGTCAAATTGTGCCACAATGGCAGGCTTTACCCCTCCATGGAGGAAAATCTGGCTGACCCCAATTCAATTCGACTAAATTTGGCTGAATTCGATTAGCAGTATGCAAAGTGTAGTACTCAGACTCTAGTATTACCCCAAGCCAGAGGCCAGACCCCTCCCGATATTATTAATAGGTAGACCTATGTTCAGCTTTTTGGAATAGCCCAGCAACGTCACGAAAGTTCCATACGCTGTACGCATAGGACTCTTTTTTGGAGGATTTTTAGTGAAACCGAAGAAAGTACCAATTTGGCAATATAAATCTATGTAATTAGTGCAGACAAATGAATACGGTTGAGGGGGGGGGGGTGTGCACCTTTGGCCCTGACCTAACCCTGCTACTTTGTAATTGTCTACAAGGTTGGGATCATTACAGACAGCACGTGTCCATCCATAGCTCTCCCACCACTTTTCCTCTGGATGCACCTCAAAGTCTGTCTTTTATTAGAGTCCCAGTAAGAATCTGACTGGAGGTCCGTCACACAGGTCCATGCGTGTTGGTAACTCTTCCTTTCATTCACTCTCAGAGTGATGGGAATCGCATTTTGTTTCCACTGTCGTTAGACTGTGATCGGTGTCAGTGACATGGTGTGGTATTGCCCTGGAGTCAGTGATCACAGACCAACCATTCTCAGCCTAGCAAGAAGAACGGTACACAGGAGGTAATAGAAAAAGGGTAAGGCTATCAAAATGAAGAACTTGTCTGGCCTTACCATACAGGCAGAAATAAAGGAAACCATGAGAAAAGAATACCGAAATGCTATCATCAGAGGCCAGCTACGTCGAAGAGGAATGGCAGAGCTTTAAAAAACACCCTAAAAGAAACTCTAAGAAAGAGGTGTGGCAGAAAACAGGTAGGAGACAATATCAAATCAGTAAAGGAAAGTTCTTGAAAGTATTGATAACAGTCGACTAACCTGTATAAATAAATACAACCAATGGGAATTCTATAAAATTGTCCGTCTATGAGTCTAAAAGATTGCCCGTATAACCCAAGAGACACAATACATGACAAGAGTGTGGACGAGAGAAGACGACTGAACTGCTGAACCCTGTATGAGAAAAAAAATAAATTCATAGACGCCTAATAAATGGTTTAAAAAATGATGAACAACCTATCCTCCTCAGTGAGGTGAAGAAGCAATGAAAAAGAGACCACAAAACAAATCTTGGACCAGATTACATCACTACTGAAATACACTTGCGGAGACATCGGCACGCTGTTGCTAAAACTAATCTTCAACGCAGCACAGGAACAAACACGATGGCCTCTGAGGACTGGGAAAACAGCAGAGCTGGGCAAAGAGTCGCTTTAGCGAAATCCGGAAAATATGTTAGTGCACCTCTTCGGCAAATAATATGATATGAACCGCTTCGGCAAATGGGTTACAACAACTTCGACAAACGGGTTAGCATCACTTCAACAAATGGGTGCACCCACTTCGGCAAGCGGGTTAGGAAAGGGAGTAAAGAGTTTGAATTCAGACAATGTTTCATTGATAATTATCCGGTTATCCGGATAGATTATCCGGATTTTGCCCACCTCTAGAAAACAGCATCGTAGTAACTACATGTACCTGTAACAATAACGTAACAATCCAAACAGCAACACACCAAGCCCACGTCCAACTGTGTCCATGAGGTCACGCCGTATGCCGTTTCGGTGTCCTCTGGTGGTTTCCTTCATCAGCCCGTCGATTGCCAAGATAAAGAGAAAAGGTGATAATAAACATCCTTGTCTCATAACGGTCTTGATGTCAAAGCTGTCAGTGAGCTGGTCATCATGTATAACCCTGCATCTTGTCCCTTCGTACATGTTCCCGATGAGGTTAACCAACTTGTGTGGGATTCCGCGATGTCTCAGTATCTTCCAGTGTTGCTTGGTCTATGCTGTCAAAGGCCTTCTCATAGTCAAGAAAGTTGACGATCAAATGGGAGTTCCACTCCAGGGACTGTTCCACTAGGATCCTCAGTGCAGCAATCTGGTCCGTGGTTGGCCGGGTTTTCCCGAAAACCAGCCTGTTAATCCCGAATTCTTGGATCCGTTGCAGACTTGGTTCTCTCCAAAATTATTCTGTTGAAGACCTTTCCTGGTACTGAGAGAAAAGTGATTCCTTGGTAGTTGCTGCAGTTGCCGAGATCCCCCTTTTAAGGTAGTTTCACAAGGTGTCCTTCTTTCCAATCCTCTGGGAACTTGCTCTCATTCCAGATCCTGGTAAGCAATAGGAGAAAGAGGTCTTCCGTCACATTGGCATCTGTTTTTAGGGCTTCAGGTGGAATCCGGTCAGGACCGGCCGCTTTACCGTTGTTCAGCTTTTTAATGACGTCCATAATCTCTTGTTTCGATGGGGCATCACAGCAGATTGGTAGCTCATTTTTTGCCGACAGGATGTTTGGCGGGTTACTTGGTGGTGGTCTGTTCAGGAGACTGTTGAAATGCTCTACCCGTCGTCTTGACTGAGCTCATTACTCATATTAGATCTGTATATCCTGCAGAATACAAGTCCACAACCATGGAAGCTCTGAGTCTGCTGAGGAAAGTAGCCATTGTCACAGGTAGGTACATCCAGTTCCCTTCTTGCTCCTCCATATTAGGCTGCTGTTATTGTAATTGTACTTGTAGACCATTTCTGTCTGCATCGACACGATTTAAATCATTTAGGTAGGAGTCGGGCTGCTTCTGACCTGCCTGTAAGAAAGACCAACCAGAGCAGAGACGGATACAACACCCCAGAGGCAGATGGAAATGCTCGATACAAAAACCCTCCCCATACAGGAATCGAACTCATGTCTTCTGTGTGCAGCGGTAAAACACGTAACCACTTCACCACAGAGACCGGTATATCAGTATGCTTCTGTGTAAGCACTAACTGCAGTCGGCGAGCTTCTAATGACAACAGAGTGGCGATTCCTGCAGCTTCTGCTGCTGTTTTTCATGGTTTACCACAGTGTGTATGTGTGTGTGTATGTATATGTATGTGTGTGTGTATGTGTGTGTGTGTGTGTGTGTGTGTGTGTGTGTGTGTGTGTGC